CCGTCGCGCGGTTTATTATACGGCCCGAGTCCGTGCGTGCATCATCGTCCTCGTCGCTGCCGCTGCCGTCGCGCTTACGTAAGTCGCGATTCGCGTTTTAACTGCTTTTGACGACACGACACGCGGGACGTCGGGAAATAGATACGATTGACGACGTGAAGTGCACGAGAACATACTCGAGGATTTTTATACGAACGGCAACGAAAGGATCGAATGGTATCGTTTAACGGGGCCGCGCCGTGGAATGGTGACCGACGACTCCTCTTATATCAACGCGACGCCACAACGAGACAGCGTGGACCCCGCCGATGCGCGTGCACGTGCGGATGATAACCGGGCAACCGGCGCAATCGAACGAGAGTCACGACCGTGCGGACGAGTGGACCCCGACGGCGGAGGATGCGATCGCGCGCGCTTAAATTGCCACACGGACCTCGAGTGATATGTACGTATCGAATTTTGTATCGCGCGTGCCGTGCCAAGACACGAGAAGGCGCGGAGCGGGACTTCGAAATTTCCCGCGCGGACGATAAGCGACTACGTTCAAACGCGTTAATCACGGCAACGTTCAGACGCGTTAATAGCGGCAACTTTCAGACGCGTCAAATAATACAAATACGGCAAGTTCAGACGCGTTAATAACGGCAATAACGGCTAATTAAGTGCGTCGAAAACGAAAAAGAGAGACACGACAGTAAAAAAAAAAAAAACAAACGAAAAAGAGGGAAGAACCGTCGCCGTGCGATCGGTTTTTTAATCGCCGAGCGATTATATTCGGCGATTCGTGATACTCGAAGAGAAAACGAACTTAATCCGTTGAAACTTTCACGGCGAGAATCACGTTTACCCCGCGTTTACTCGTGCTTCGTGATTCCGTCGGTCACGTGATATACTCCGCGAGGAAGGCGATTGCGCGCAGTCATTCGCGACAATTTGACCATCTACGAAACGTACGTTCCACGGCCGTCGCGCGTCGGCTCGTTGCTCAAGTAACGTGGTCTTTCGGAACGCACAGTTTACGCTTACGCGCCGGGTGCGCGGACACACTGCATGTACGTGAGGATTGGCGAATGCGGGATAACAATACGCACACATACGCACACCCTCTCGGTGATTTCGTTGGTTTCGCGGTCGCCGCAGGTCGCCGTGTCGCGTGGTGTCCCTCGTATCCGAGGGGGCTTTTCCGTGCTTTTCCCCAGTCGAGAGCAACAGCAACACACGTGCGCGCTCGCGCGCATGTGCTCCGCGTAATTACTGCGTGTGCGAGGGTGTGTGCCCGTTCGTTGTATGTCAACGCGTGTGGCTCGCGACAAGTGCCGGCTGAGTTAAACGGTCTCGCACGCGGCCGAAGATGGAGAACACGACGTGTCCGACTAACGTGCTGGAGAGCGCGAGCGTGCCCGGCCTGATGATGCTGCTCGCCACGTTGATCGCCGGCGGAATCGTCCTCGTGATCTGCTACGCTGTAAGCCGGCGATCGCGTTCCCGCCAGGACTCGAAGAAAAGTAAGCATCCATTCTCAAGTCAGCCTACCGCGGCTCGTCCGCGTGCCGCACATCGCACACGCGACACTTCGCGCCGGGCCGGCCGCTTTGGGGGGCGCTTTGCCGAGCGATAAACCGGCCTGTTGTTAACACTGGCGGCGCGCGACACGCTCACAGGCTGGTCAGGCTGGTCTGGTTCGTCGGCCACGTTTCTTCCTTCCGGAGCCGAGCGACTTCACGCGCCAATTTCGACGCGTTTTAATTCCGCACGTTTTGAGTCCTCGTCGTCTCGGAGCAAATTTCACAACTTGACATTTTCTGTCTTTGATCCCCCCCCTCTCTCTCTCTCTCTCGCTCTCTCTGAGAAATAGAATCGTAAATTTTTACTCGAATATAAAATTCGTAGTAAGAAGTTTCGAGTGGAAAGATTTACGGTTGTACCGAAAAAGATGAAAGAAAGCAGGATAATAAAAGAGAAACGAAAACATATATGAGTCACGTGGCGTCCCGATACGTTTTCAGGTGTTTTGATGATTATTATTAGACCTTTCCTTTGTTGATCGTAAACAAGGTGCATACTTATGTTTGTGTTTTTTTTTAGAAAACACAAATGTCGTTCTAACCTTATTAGCATTCAATGAATAACAAAGATAAAAACGATATTTGTGTCGATTGTCTCCTAAAAGGAAAACAGGTTGCGTCAGGTTAATATTTTTAATTTATTTCTCGGGCGAATTTTTCAATACATATTGATTATTTATCGCTGAAGATAAAGAGATGATTGTGAAATATCCAGTAATTTTCTGTCATGAAGTTCGGATCTGTCACGTGCCCAAAAGTTCTTGTGAAAATGTTTGACTTC